TGAAGCAAGAGACCAAGTCAGAGGGGGTATGGGCAACATTTGAACAATGGTTAAAAGTTCATCACAGCTTCCAGCCCATTGGAGTCCTGACCACAAATGCTGTGATAGTTTTCCTGGGATTACTGGGGGAAGTCCTCCCCACAAAGTTTATGAACACTCCAAATAATCCCTTTAAGTAAGATCTAGAAGTCATGCTAAACTGAGGCTTATTCACAACAGGTAAAAATACAAAACCCTGATGCTGCAAGCATAGCTAAGCCATGTGAGAAGAAACAATGTGGTATCCCATCCAGCATATCTTCTATTCATAAGAATTTCAAGCTGGCTCCTAAGTGTCTGCTTACTCCTTAACCTTATGTTTTTCCTGGTTATTAATCAGTTGCTTGAGATGTTCCAAACCACATAACTCCTTGTCACTAGAAAAGACAATTATTTACACAATTAAAAGAATGCTTTGAAGAGGCTAGACTAGGGGTATAAGAAGGTTGTAAAAGCAGCAAACTGTATGCTTCAAGAGGGAGAAATCTCTCTGACATCATCTGCCGTTGATCTCAAGAAGCTGGAAGAAACAGATCATCTCTTTCCGTCATATGTTTAACCTTCGACAATCGTGCTAAGAACTCTACCTGTCAGCAAACAACCCGAGTGCATTGGAATGGTGAGATCCCAGCTCTCGCTCTCTCTCTTTCTCTTTTTCTCTCTAGGCATAGCTTTCTAAACCTAAATTTTATTAGTTAAGCTTGAGCTAGGTTTTCCCAAATACTCAATTAAACCAGGGTAATAGTCTAATTGTTTTTGATTGTTTTCCCTTGCATGTCTATTATTACCAGTACCATTATAAATTTCATATACTTAGCAATAAATAACTTTTATTGTCAAACTGGTGGTACCGGGTGTATTTTTCCTTCTCTGCTTCCCCTTCTCCACTTGCTCTGCAGCAACGCTTCTTTTATCTAAGCCAAAGATCCCTGTGAAGCCCAGAAATACTGTGGGGTCTGCTCATCAAAAGACTATCACTACTCGGACAGTTAGGGCAAAAGATTGGGATGTGCTGAGTTTAAAGACACATAAGGGAATCAGCTTGTATGGGCTAGTTAACCCATTTTGGCTCAGACATGCCCTAATGAACTGAATGCTGGCCCATGTCATCTGGACACCCAGCCAGATTCAGAGACATTCTGTTTACCTGTGTGTTTGTGTCTGACTGCATTTAGTTGTTACCTTAATGAACTGATTCCTTGCATATGAGGGTGCCAGCCTGTCCGTGCTGATCAACCCAGCTGGGTCAGGCATGTTACGTTAATCTGTATGTATTTGTACATATGTGATTGATCTGGTTGCTGGAGGAACCCAGCCCCATTGAACTGAGTCCTGCAAGATAGCTCCATTGGGGGTGAGGACTTGAAGAAGGGCGAGATACAGCTCCACATAGAAACACCAGTACACAAGCAGCACATTAATAGAATTACAGAGACCCTAGAAATATATCCCAAATAAATGAGCACACCCCAAAGTGATGGGCAAATCTGGTAACACTTCCACTCCTGCCACTGGCGGAGACAGGACACTGGGCTAGATGGAGCATTGGTCTGACCTAACATGGAACATTTTATGCTCTTATGTTTTAATAAATAAATGGATAAAGAAACATTTATTGGGGCCAAACATGGGGTGTCAGACAACTGTTTGATTGGATTATTAACTATTCTTACCTCCTGGTTTATGATTTGCCACCAACATCTTTTCTGTCTCTTTTTCAGATGAATGAAAATTATAAATAGGAGAACAACAGCTAATCAACTCCAAACAACAACCTTTCTAATTAATAATTAAATAAACCCTAGGAAATGTTAGGTTTTACATGTATTTTTACCAACTGAAAATCAATCCAAACTTCTAAACAACAAATAAGTGGGTCCTCTCAAAAACTAGTGGAGCAAAATCCCCAACAGCTAGGTTGTATCAGTTAATGTTCACAAGCACTGAGACCTAATGAAGTCTGATTCATAAAGGCAGATTCTTATGTCTCAGCAGAATCCCACTATAACCAGAGTGCAACTGACTGCAAGCCTGTGGATTCTTCAGTTCAAATGACGATAATTTCTTGTAGATATAAAGCTATTTAATATATAATTGTTATTTGCCGCACAACTTAGAATGGATTATTCATAGAGTTTTCTATGCTAAGCAGGAACTTTCACTTAATACTGTTTGATATCCATAATGTAATTGTTAAATATCACCTGTAAGGTGACAGCTATTTTTTTCCTAATAATACACTGTGTTCCTCTGCTAAAAGCCATTTTCTTACACTGCTAAGAAAGTGTACCATATTCTCCAGAGGTATTTCTGACTCAAAAATCAGAATATTTATCTGCAGATTTTCATGTTAAAATGTCAGTGTGCTATTGTTATCACTTTTGAATAGAACTTTATGCTAATTAATGACATTTTAAACACACAGACCTTAACAACAGGCAAAAAGGTACACTGAAATATTTTACCTTAAAAAAATTGAAATCAATACATTTTAACAGAAAGAGGTTTTTATTTTGTTTTATTTGTAACAAATGACAAAGCTTCAGTTCTGGAAATAACTTGAGCAGAGATGGGGGCCAGCACATACTCCATGCTTCACAGAGGTGTTTTAAGGTGGAAAAAGAGGTTTTCAGGTAACTGAGCTGGGGAAACATTAGTTTTGTGGGCTGCCTTCTTTTGTGGAAAAATCTTGATACCTTGCCTTTTTGGTTGTTGTTGAAAATGAATATCATTTTTTATTATTTTTCCAAGGTCAGAATTTGTGTGAGAGAATATTAAAACAGATATAAAATTAATCTTGAAAATATCCTGTTTTGCATATACTGTATGACAGAGAAAGCTAGGCAAAAAGATTTTCTGGTTCTGTGAGAATGTCTGGACATTTTAAAATTTGGAAGGCTGAAATGTTTTTGTGAATCAAAACATTTTTAAAAACCATTGTGGATGAAGTTAATAGAAATACAGTATTATGATCATTTCAATGTATTTTGTTTTAAATTTGAACTTTTTGGCATTTGATTAGGAACTAATTTAAAACTCAAAATGAACAACTGACATTTTTATATGAAAATCAGAATTGTAAAAGAGTTAAAATGGGATTTTTTACATTTTCAATACTTCTTTAAAAAAGAATTTTAAATACTCCTGAACCCAGAAAATGTATCAAAATGACTATTTTCTCTGAACAATATACATTTTGATGAAGAAACTTTTTTTTTTTTTTTACATAAAACACTTTTCAGCGCTAATCAGATTATTCAGCAGCAGCATCCATGTTGCTTTTAAAAGTCTTCTTAAACATACTTTGTAAGAAGTATCTCCTGCTTATATAAATAAGAATGCTTTCTAATGTTAAAAAGTATGTTTTCTCCCTATTACACTTGCAGCATGTTCTTTCTTTGGCAGGAACTCTACACTCAGTTGTATTTATCAACAGAAGATGCATTTTTAAAGGACAAATTAACTATGTTCCAGATATGTACAAAAGTATGTGGAAACCTTCAATCAACAACCAAATCCAGTGTTATGCAGATGACTCCATTATACTAATATCTTTAAAGATATTTACCACTTGTATTCAATTCACTAACTAATACCTAGTTATCATTGACATATAAAACAAAGTTAATCTCTTACCGTATTGTTGGGATGGTAATTGAGATGCAAACCGCTGTCACAGAGGGGAGAGGAAGTGCCACTGCTTTGGTCACTAGGGACACCTAATAAAAGTATTCATGCATATAAAGTTGTTCATTAATTCATGCTGTTAGAATTTACATTCATATACACATTTTTCCTAAGTACTGTTATGTTGCAAGGACTAGTTTGCTACTTTTTTTTCATTTCTGAAATATCAACAGAACAGCCCTTGACTTTTCAGCTATTCGTTGTTCAAAATTAAATTAGTGAATAATTGAGGTAAACCTAATAATATTCCGTGTATCAGTTGTACACAATTCACACCCTGATTTTCTTGACTCTCAAACCATTGTTTAGATCAGGGTTCTGGTTAGGGTTGTAGAAAAGCCATGTTCAAGTCCTGGCCCATAGGCCATTGCTGTAATTCCAGAGCTACAGATTGGGTCTTTCTTTTCTGGGCAGGGTCCAATCTGGACCTGAGACACCTGCCCAATGAAAATATTTCAACAGTTCTACTTATATAAAAAATATTGTACAAAGTGTAAGAACTAAAAGGAATTGAGAATAATGTAAAGGATGCTGTCTACATTTATCTGAATGCACGTTTGTGTTAATTGTTCAATATTGAAGTAATACTATAGTAGCTGTAGATGTCTGTCATGAATGGAGGCATGGATTTCTTACAGCATATATTTACTTTCTTAAATGAAAATATTTTTAGACCAAATTTTCTTTCTGTGTATGTACTTACACGATACCAGGAAGTGCGTAAAGGACTTCACCCCCATAATTATACACTAGATCTAAGTTTACTTAAATTCATACTAGGTCATTTCCTCTTACTTTCAAAACCATGTGCAAAAGATTAACCATATTAAATAAAATAGGTTTTCAAATGAATATTTGTGTTATAATTTAAAATTTAAAATTATGTTTATTCTTTTAGAAGAGGGAAGCTGACAGAAAGCAGGAATGACTAAAGGCATAGGCACACAGATATAAACATCCATGGATATACTGATTATGCACCAACACTTATAATTTATTATAATTATAGGAAGGCAGCTGCTTCCATACATCTCTTTCAAGTTCCCACTGGGGCTAGCGAACTAAAACTCTCTGGAACTAAACAACACACTAATCAGCTCAGAGTATATTCATCTTCAGTTAAAGAGGCATTTCCACTAACCCCACTGATTGAACTATAAATTGAGAAGTTAAGCCTTCAAATGTTTATCTTCAAACCCACTTTCACATTTGGAAAGAACATACTTTCTAATCACAATGTTAGTTTTATGTTGCTTGAAAAATATCTGTTAAGTATGTGGGACTAGAGCCTCTCCTGGTGTACAATAGTGTAGCACTGTGGTTTTAAACAAACCAATGATGATTCACACCAGCAGAGGGTCTGGTATTCAGTTTCTCAAGTAAAGATAGCATTGTTCAGCTTGCAATGAATACTAATAAAGCACATGGTGATATGAAAAGTTCATATTCAGGACACAATACTGACTGAAAAAGCCCCTGTCAATCACTGTCAGTGTACAGAAGGTTTGGAAACTGTAACAGTAGAAATTCACACGAACACTGAAGGGATTTTTCTTTTAGCAAAACCAGAAAGGCTCACATGCACAGTCTTCATTTAATGGCAATTTGAGAAAAGCAGGTGATCTTTTCAGAAAGGACACTGTTAGGGTCACTTCTTCTCCTGCATTGCGAAGAACTTGTACCTAAGGATTGAATAGAAATGTCATAAATTAAAAAAAATAAAATAAAGTAACAAATCTAAATAAAAACTACTAATTTATCACATTGATCATATCTGCTCCATGATCTATAAAATGGCTTATAGGAAAAAAAAAAGATGGAAAAACATGAATCTTGCCATATTCTTATCTCCAGTATCCTTGATAAAAAAAGTGAACAACCTCTGAAAATAGCTATGTTTGTTCGAAGGGCTGTCTTTTAAATGTCTCCAAACAATACACAGAGATTCTATGTTGGCAGCTTTCACGACCTACCCATTGTTCTGTCTGTCTTCAACTGCAGTTATCCTCAGTCTAACATTATACTGTGGCTCCAATTCCTCTTCCACTCACTCAGAAGAACCTGTAAACTAGGCTTGTAGTGCACTCAAACTCAGGCTGAGAGGCATTACAATTGTACCAGGAAAAAAATCTTTCCCCTGGCAGAAAGAGAGTGTACAGCCATTCAAGCACTTTCTCCCAGAAGAAAAATGGCTCTTCCACAAAGTTCTAGTTCTCCAAGGTCTCAGGTAGAAGGGGACCTTGTTGCCTGTCCTGTCAAACAGCTGACTGTCAGGGCCGGGAGAACCATTCTCCTGGGGGCAGGGAGGGGAACCCTCTTCAAACCCTGGGAGGGTTCCCACTGTGAAAGAAAAACCCCCCAGTGGTGCACTCCTCTGGGTCAATCTGGAGAACTACAGTTAACTGCACCTGAGATTGGAGATCTCCCAGAGCTTCTCCTACTGATGGAGAAGTGCCCCTATCCCATGTGCCCCTCCAGTTCAACCTGGAGGAGTGCACTGGGGGAGACAGGTGCACCAGGGAGGATTCCAGACCCAAGAAAATACCTCCCAGGCTCCCTGCCCTGGTTCTTGGCCCTCTAAACTTTAGATTGGGGCAGGCAAAATATGGCCTGCAGGGCTGAATTTGGTCTGCCACACAATCCCATCCAGCCTGTGGGGCCCCTCTGTAAGCCCTGGCCCTGAGCTGTCGCTCTGCTAGATGGCAAGTCCCTGCTAACCAACCACCCCCTGACCCTGACCTGGCCTGACCTGCCCCCATCTCCAAGCCAAGAGGGGCTAAAAACAAGAATCCCCTGCTTGATGAAGCTTTCATCTGGCCACCCCATGGCTGGTTCCTGCCTCCTCCCTGGAGAGTGGGAATTCAGGTAAGGACCCCACTGAGCCAGGGCCAGGGACTCCCACTAGGGGAAAGGAGCAGCATTACAGGGAGCCATGCGCTATAGTGGCAGGTGGGGCTGGTCCTGCACACTGCAGGAGCTGTGTGCTATGGGGCTGGGTCAGGCTGGCCCCACATGATGCCACTACACGCGGCTGGGGAACTGAGCAGTAGTGCAGGAACAGCATACTACAGGGCTAGATGGGGCTGGCCCTGCTCCCTGCCACCATGTGCAGCCTGGGATGGGAGCACAAGAGCTGTGGCTATGAGGCCAAGTGTGGCTGGTCCTGCACCCTGCCACCATGTGTGAATGGGAACTTAGGTAGAAGTGCTATTAGGCTGGGTGGGGCTGGCCCTGCATGCTGCCACCATGTGTAGCTAGGGCCTTGGATGGGAGCTGCATGTTACATGGCCAGGTGGGCCTGGCCTTGCATCTGCTGCCACCTGTGGCCAGGGACTGGGTTGGGATCACAGGGAGATGCATGCTATGGATCCAGGCAGGGCTGGCCCCACTTGCTGCCACCACATGCAGATCCAGGGACTGGCACACTCCAGGAACTCCAAGGGCCACCCCCCAACCCCTCCACACACACTTATACACCCCACCCCCAACCATACTCATGCATATACCCACAGCCTCCAAGACACTCCACCCCAACAATATACCCCACACTAACCCCTCCATACCCACTCCTCACCTTCCCCCATGTCCCACCACACACACATCCACTCCCCAACCACACACCCCACATACACCCCCTTACCCCCACCGCACACAATATACAAGACTAAAACTGTATTTTGAACTATTATAATTGCCTCTAGATACACTATGCAAACACACAAATCAGTGCAAAATATTTTAATTTTATTTAAAAAATAAGTTATAGTAGATATTTGATTTTTCAGTATACACTATATTTTTATTCTGATTTCAAGATATCACCACTCCCCACATCACCTCCCAGGAGTATTTCTGGGGCAAGGGGAGGGATTTTTGATGGCAAAATTCAGGGGTTAGGGTTGAGTACTGTAGTTCCAAGATGGTGACCAGGGGGCAGGTCTACCCTTGCACCCCTCGACAACTCACCAAAACTCCTCAAGTGACCCTCCAGCTAAAATAATTTCCCACCCCAGCTTTAGATGCTGCCTCTACTGCTCAGCCAAGTGGCACAGTTGGGGCCTAGGTCCTAGCCCACACTGGCTTCCCCTCCCACCTGTGCCACTCAGCTGGGAAGCAGGGGCAGGGATTGCAAAGCTTCTCAGTTGGGAAACAGGGTTGGGGAAGCTATATCTGCCCTGTTTCCCAGGCCTTGGGATTTAAATGTCATATTCCCACTCCATTTCTTGGTCCCATGAGCCTTAAATACCACATGTGCTGTCCCCCTGAACAGCACAGGTGGC